GTTCTTAGTGTTTGCATTAGCAGTGCCCGACGCGGGCCAGCGCCGCCGCCGCAGGCGGGTGGGCTCCTCCTCCCGCCCCGCCGCCCGGGGGGCCAAGGCCGCTCCCGCCGCCGCTGCCGCCGCCGGCAGAGCGGGTGTCAAGGCCGCCCCCTGCGCCAAGCGGGCGCCCCGCGGGCCGGAGCCGGCTCCCTGCGGCCGCGGCGGGGGACGGCAGCCCAGCGGCGGCGAGGCGGCCCCGTCGCCCGGCAAGGGCAGGAAGGCGAAGCGGGGCGGCGCGGCGGGAGGAGGAGGCCATGCGGCTGCGGCGGCGGCGCTGGCCCGCGTCGGGCACACGGACAGCAGCTCCGACCTCTCCGACTGCCCCTCCGAGCCGTTGTCCGACGAACAGCGCCAGGTCCCGGCTGCCAGCAGCGACGCCGAGTCCGGCACCGGCTCCAGCGACCGCGAGCCGCCCCGCACCGTCCACGTCCCCGGACGCGGAGCACCGCTGCCGCTCCCCGGTCCTCGCGGGGAACTCACGGCCTCGGGCGCGGGGAGAGCGCCGAGCCGCGGGGAGCAGCGGGCAGCCCCAGAGGAGCTGCAGCGGGAGGTGGAGGAGCTGCGCTCGGAGAACGAGTACCTCAAGGTGAGCGCGCTGCGGGGAGCGGTCTGGGGCGGGGGGCTGCGGCGCGGTGCAAAGGGCAGAGGAGGGCTGGGGGCGGTTTCGGGGCGCTCTGTGAAGGAGGTGGGGAAAGGCCGGTGCAACGCCGGTGCAACACGTACTGCGCCAGTGCTGTGCTGGTCGTTGCGAGGGCTCGGCGCTACCCGGATTCCGTCAAACGCTCCGGTGGTCAGCGAACCCTGGCTTTCCAGGAACTGTTTTCCTCAATATCGCCCTTTAAAATACGCTTGAGAAAGATGTTTCTTCCTTTGATGGGGAGAGGACTACAGCGCTCTGTGTGACTTAGTGCTGAAAGTCCGCCGACTGCGCGCTGCTGCCGGGATAACGCCGGCAGAGCCGAGCGCCGAGGGTATGGGAGTGCGGCGGGCAGCGCCGGTCCCCGGCCGGGACAGCCGAGCGCAGGCGTGCCCCGAGCGCGCTGCCCTGAGGGAGCCTTTCGCTTAGAACATGATCTTTTGGCACGGCGGGAGGCCGCGTCCGTGAAGATCTATAAATAAATAAACTCGCATCATCCCGTAACTGCAACTACCCTACGGTGTGAGCCTGCTGCTGGTGGGCACGGCGTTGGCTCCACGAGTTCTGCTCAGATGAGGTGCAGCCACGGGAGGGAGAAGAAGGAGGGCGGCGGTGCGCACCGCTCTCGTTGAGGGCTTTGGGCCAAGGGACGATGCTCGGCGCAGCAGAAGGTGAACGGTGCGAGTGATGCTGCAGGGTTGGTCCCCGGGGCTGGTGATGCTTAGTGAGATGGAAAAAGGAGTGAGCAATGATGCAGCAAAATTTTCAGGTGGCACGAAGTTGTTTGTTTTTTTTTTATTAAACCTGAAGTTCTGTCCAGTCTTTGCCAGAGTTGATGTAAGCAGAGGCTTGGCCCTTGGGAATGACAAAAAAAAATGAAGGCTGAGGTCATGGAATAAATCTCAATACTGAAAATACAAAGTGTTTGGAGAGAAGTAGGGTGTAGGCTTCAAATGCGTTGCAGTAGCTCAGGAGTGTCCTGAGAGCGGGAGCATGCAAATCTCTGGTCTGTGTGGAATTGTGGGCAGAATGGGTTTGGTTTCCTTGAGAAATGAATAAACAAAACCATTATAGGCATTATAATATATAGATCCACAGCTGCTGTGTGGGTCTGTAGGTATGCCTGAAATACTGTGGGGCACCGTTGGTCATCTAGGAAAGGATAACACAGAGCTTAACTGATAAAATAACTGGGACATAGCAGAGCTTTCATAACACTCACTGGATGAAAAACACTAGGCTGTATCATGGAAGTGTGATAGCAGTCTGTAAAACGATGAGTTGCACAGAGAGCCTTCATCAGAGGCTCTGTTTTAATTGGCAGCTCAGAAACAAGAGGAGAAGGGATGAGATCTGGGCTGATAACAGGAACTGCTGTTAGGAGTAGGCAAATTGGTGCTGCTGGCAGAAGTCAAGGAGCCCAGAGCCCACGGGAGCCCAGGAAAGCGGTGGAATATCTCTTTGCCTTGTAGGATCTCCCTAAGTACTGCACTAAGACTTTCACCCCTTGAGAAGAATGTGTCAGTCCACCTGTTTCTTATAATTGTAAGAGAAGCCACTCTTACAATTTGTAAGACAATTTGTAACAGTTCAAAGGTGGGGGAAAAAAGGGATAGTCTAGTGACTGAGGGTTTGGCGGTGAGGAAACTTAGATGAAGAACAGTGTTCATAGTGTTTCATAGTGTTCATAGTGTTTCAAGCTTCTCGCTCCATGTGGCTTCAGGTCTTTCCCCTTGATGCCTTTATCTGCAGCAGGGACCCAACCCTGCTCAACCTCAGGCCACAAGTACTGTAGAGTCTGGTAAAATAATGCAGGCTGCTTTCTAGGGGATCTATGTCCTAGCTGATTTCCAGTGGATGTTTGCTGTTTGGATATTAGGAAAAATGTCTTTTCAGAAGGAGAGGTGAGCAGTGGTACAGGCTGCTCAGGGGGGTGGTGGAGTCACCATCCCTGGAGGTGTTCAAGAACCGAGGGATGTAGTTTGTGGGCATGGTGGTGTTGGGCTGATGGTTGGGCTAGGTGATGTTAGTGGTCTTTTCCAACCTTAATGATACTATGAAATGGTTGTGTGGTCCATCTCTTCTGGCTGCCTGGGTGCATGAACTCTTGGAAGCATTGCTCCTTTCTTGGGTTGTTTGGAATTGGCTCAGTGGCTCAGAAGTTACCAGGAGAATTCCCAAACTTTCCTTTCCCTTGCTAAGGAAGTCTATGAAAGCACTCCTCTAGTCTTCTGCAAATTAAAACCACAGCGCTGCACAAGCTGTTGATTTGTGGGTTTGTTCCTTGTGTCTCTTACAAGGCAGCTCTCTCGCCTGGTAAAAGAGTGGGCTTTGTTTCTTGTCTAAGTGGGGGGGGTGACGGAATAATGGGGAAGCTGTCAGCTCAGAGGAGACAAATGATTAGATAAATCCCTGAAGAACATGTTAATTTCCTGAACATGTCCATATGCCAAATTTTGTACTTTTCACTCCTCCTTTTCCTTCCCCACATCTGGAATGCAACAGTAAGTGCACATGATTTTAAAGCCTATTTCAGGGGAATTTATGTTTCACTTAGGAAGGACTCTCACTTATCTTTCTCATATCTGCAGCACGTGAAGAATGTAATGTGTGTATATAAGTGTGAATATACACGAAGATTTACTTAATGCTGAAATTTGGCACCTTGTGTGTTTCCAGACACTGTGCTTTTACTGGAGAAGAGGATCTGGCTCTAGAGGTAGAATCACAGAATATCCCGAATTGGAAAGGACCCATAGGGATCATGGAGTCCAACTCCTGACTCCATACAGCACCACCCAAAATTCAAACCCTGTATCTGAGAATAGTGTCCAGACAGTTCTTCTACTTGAGGCCCTGACAGCCGCTTCCATGTTCACCACCTACTGGTAAAGAACCTTTTTCTAACTGCCACCCTGACCCTCCCATCGTGGCTTCATGCCAGCTGGCTGCAAAGCAAGGCACTTGCACAGATTGGCTCAGGATTGCATTGTGAAGACTCTCTTCTAGTCTGTTAAATTTCATCTCAGATTTCAGTTTCATGGACTTCTTGCATAACCTTACTGCAGCTACCTGTGCAGGAAAGCTGTAATGTTACAGCAGTGTGTAAAAGGTGTCACTTATTTGCTGAGTTTTATTTTTATTGCTGAAGTTTTATTGTGGCGGCTGCCTCTGTGGAGCCTGAAGGTTGTTGGCAGATGGCTAGGGAAAGTGCAGGCTTGATGACCACCAGGCAGTGCTGTCCGTAAGAGCAAACAGTGCCCTCACAAGGGGCTGTCCTTCAGCGCTGAGGGCTCAGCATTTGGAGAGCCATCCTGCTCTGTTTAAATCCTGGGGGATACAGATAGAGTTTCTGCATGTTGTCAGTCCCTGTGAAGGATCAGGGATCCTGAGGAAGAAGGACCGAGTTCTGGCAATTAAGAATGTTCTTGCTTCATCTTGGCAAAAGTTTGTTTCAGGCTGTTCTGATTAAATAAGCTTGCTAGCAGAAACGGCAATGATATTTTAGTCATGAAATATAAATTTGACATGTGCCTCTTCTCTGTTTACGCCCTTCATAGCCAGTATCTGAAAAAGTCTTCTCTATGAAGCACAGCACTCCTCACTGTCCTGAAAATGCCCCATGTCACTTTGCAGCACTGTTTGTGAGTGTGCTGGTACAAGTTCAACTTGCCCTGAGTGCTGCTGCAGTGTGCACCTGCACAAAAATGTATTCTAAACTCTCTTTCATAGATATAATATGGTTTATCTTGGTTAGTCTTTATTCTTTCTACATTCACTTTTATCTGTGACATGTAGTGGATATAAAGTGATTAAGTGGCCACTCCTGGCACCTTACTGTTCTCAGATACATCTCCAGGATGCTCATTTTTGTTTCAATGCATAGTGTGTGTCATATGAGGCTATCCTACTTTTCCCAGCTCCATTGAAACAGTAGATCCTCTCGAGGTGAACTTCACCTTTGCCTGCGGATCTCAGGGATCTGTGCAGAGCAAAATAATGCAAAGCACTGGGACCAAATGTTTCACCTAGCGAGCATCACAGGGGTTCCCAAAATAGGGGCTGCCCCCATCTGCGTGACAGAGGCAAACAGCGGAGGAGGTTCTGGGATGGGAACAGCAGCGGTGCCCAAACAGAGCAGGCAGGTCAGTGTGAGAGCCAACGTGGCCAGAGGCTCCAGGGCTTCCTGAACTTGTTTTGCAGGCTGCTGCTTTATTTGCAGCTAAAGCCTTTTAGAGCGTGTTTATCCCTGCTGCAGTTGGTGAAGCGCTAAGAGGAAGGTGTTTATTCCCTAGCAGTAACACCGTCTCCTACGTAAAGATGGTTCAAGATGTTTAAAACATATAAATGAATATTACATAAAATCACAATGTATGAATCTTAGATTTCCCAAGGACTTTCTAGAACTCCTGGTTGTGCCGGCACCATAGCAATTGCCCACCGTAATTTCCATCTCTCCTCACTGTCATCTCATTTGACTTAGAGTGTATTAAAATAACCTCTTCTTTAAGAAGAGGTACTGGCATAAGCTGTAAGTGTGACTCCTAGCTAAATTGAAAAATAGGGGTTTTTTTTTACATAGATAATTGAATTTCAACCTTCATTTGCTTTAAATACTGTACAGTGGCTTGGTTTTACATGTTTCAATCTCTCCTTTTTGCAGATGTTACTTAGTTACTATGTGGCTCCTGGACACTGATACATTCCTGGTTTGCAGATGTTACCATCTGGACACTGATTCATTTTTACTCAACAGATCATCCAAACTTTCAGTTTGATAGTATACGTAATTGCAGATGCATACTAAAGCACTCAGTACCTATATTTCTCTCATGCTATTATCGGTGCGTGATTTCTCCCTGACAGTTGTTTCCAAGATTTTGTTTGTTTGGACTTAAGGTTGCATTCCAGTTTTAAATCTGTATTTGTGCTCTGAATTAAGAGCCTTTCCTCTTTCAGCCAGCAGCTCGGCTCATTGCAAGTGGGCCAGCAGGCTGACCTGAGCTCAGCTCCTGCTGAGGCCCCTATCCCATTGTAGTATGTAGCTCAGCTAGGTAGGGTCTACTTTGCACTGTTTCCTCAAGGAAACCTAAGGATTTGTTATTTCTTTGTCCACTGGCGTATCCATTACTCCTGTGCTTTCGGGTTGTCCAGAGGGCTTAGCAGCAATGAAGCATATCTGGAGCACCTCTGGTGCCATGGCTCTTTGCTTGTATAATTCCATATGTACTCCATGGGCTGTGCAAGGGCATGGTTGGTGGGCATGGCTGGGAAATGTGCTTTCAGCCCTCATTGTGGATCTCAGCCAGTCTGGCTAGGTAGATGCAGGCAGTCAGTTGTGCAAGTATTTCTGTTTCTTTGAGGGGGAATGACTCAGCTGTGAGCATGGGTTACTCAGTGTAATAGCTGACTCTAATATCTATTTTTTTTAAGAATCCCAAACAAAGCAGATTCCTGCAATTTACCCTTAATTATACTTCATTGTGAATTAAATCAATATTAAAAATGTATGACATCAATAAAGGTCTTAATGGGGCAATGGCTTCTCTTCTGACAGGCAAGCCTTCAGTTCGCATGGTACAGGTATGCAACAGCATCATCAATGTTCATTTGGGCTATGTAATGTAAACTGCACCCACGCTTTCACCTTTTAGCTAATACACCTTGACTCAGTAGGTGGACATGACAATAGTGCATCCTCATTCTTTTTCTTATCCTCTGAAGTCTGGGGGAATCCCACAAGTAGAGTGGCTATGTACACATGTCCCTGTGCTGAAGAGCCACCCCGTGACCTCAGGTGGGTGACCCCTTTTAGACTCCAAACAGCTGGCCTCTAAGAAGTTGTTCATAGCAAGTAAGCGGCAAGATTCAGGAGCTAGGAGCACAATCAACTTGGATTTCTACTGCAAATTTAGTTTGCTGCCAGCTGAAGTGTCTTTATTTCCCACATTTCCGTTCTCCCTTTCTTAAAACCAGTATGACATCTGGAAAGAAAAGCAGTTGAGCTTTTTCCTAAACGATGTGTTTTCTTGTGGGACTCATTGCTTGCTGCTGTTCTTTCTGAAGTCTATAACTTTATTACCATATAATTAAAGGGGATCAAGAGGAGGTTCTCATTCCCTATGGGAGCATACAGAGAAGTGAAGCTTCTACCTGCTCTTAACCTTGGAACTTCAATTACAGGTTTGGGATCTTGGAGCAGGTCCTCCCTGTTTAAGGCAGGGAGCAGGCTCCCCACTTGTTAGATGCACAAAGACTGATGCTGGCTTCCTTATTTGTTTATTTTAATTAGTCTTAAGTGCTTATTCTGGTCTCTCTTTTCAGTTCTACAAAATTAAAGTCCACAGTATGAAACTCAATGCCTCTTGAGAGAAAGCTTTAGTTCTCACTCCCAATAATAACAGTAATAACAGTATATTTGAATGAAGTCAGGAATTGGAATTATCAGGAGCTTTAGCCAAACTTCTACTCAGCCTCACATTTGTGTCAATGGAATGTGTCAATGGAATTCCCACCCAGATGTCTGCTAGGGACAGGGAAAAGGCTTCTTGCTCTTGCTGGCTCTTGGAGGATTGCATTACCATGCCTGATGTCTCCAGCGTAGAATCATTAAGGTTGGAAAAGACCAGTAAGGCCATCTAGTCCAACTGTAAACCCATCACTACCATGCCCTCTAACCCCTACCATGCTAATCTGGGCCTGCAGCATCACTCCACACCAACGGTGTGGACAAATGAACTTTGCTTCCTCTCTTTTCTGTGCACACATTGCTTCAGAGCAGGACTGGAAGCTGTCCTGGTTTCATAGGTACAGTTGCTACAGCTATGACTTAACAGGTGCTGACATGAGGTTTCGATGCCTGAGTTCAGTGCTATGGGTTTTGTTGTCATATTCTCAGAACAAGCTCATGTCTGTTCTGCAGCTAGCAAAAGTCTACCCCAGGATCCATGTTTCTGTATCTGAAGGACATGCGGTTGCTCTGCATTTCAAAGAATGATTATTTCTGATACTTCAAGAGATGATATATTTGGACCTGCTCCCATACCTGTATGTTTAATATACAAAAACAGGACTTCATCTTGCTGCCCCAAGAGGCCCAGTCTATTCGATGAGTTTTCCTCCCCTGGCTGGCAGTGCCCTCAGGTACTGGCCCTGGGAAGTGCAGCAGGAGTGGCTGTTGGCTGCAGCCTGCACAGCCAGTTTTCTGCTCCCTACACAGACTCATTTTTTCCCCTCCTTGAATTTGAATGTGTGTTGCTGCATTTTAAAACTCCTCCAAAGGTTTCTGCATTGCTGAATATGAAGGTTAGAACATGTTATGATTTCTATATAAAAGTTTTGGGAATAGAAAAAAAAAATGCTTGCAAGTTTTTGGAGAATTATTTGAGGCAGAAGGACACTAAATTAATGCACAGGGTGACCTGAAGGCAGGGAGAGCTCCTGTGCCCACACAGAGGGTTTGTGACTTGCCAGTTTCAATGGGATGCTGATTGCAGGGGTTGGCTTGTTTGAAATGATGATGGTTTCTGTTTCCAAATTTGGTGTTAATAAATACTTTGTGAGTACAAACATAGTGGATTACTTGTTAGAAACGGATCAGATTTATTAATTCCAGAAACTGGTACATAGACAAGAAATAACTTTAAGAGGTAGGTAATAAAATTACAGTTTGCAGGCCACTTGATACACTAAAACCATTGCTTCGTTCTTGAAGTATAAATGTAGGATTATAAACTAGATCCCATGGATTTAGTGGTCACAGATATTTTCCTTCATTACAGAATTGTGTTGAAAAAAAAAATCTCAATTTGCAACCAAATTATTTATCTAACATTAGAGTTCTGAAGATGATTTTAAAAGTTAATTGAGCTTAAATCTGGTTGTACTTGATTCATTTCCTGAGTCTGCAGACAGCCTTAAGCAACAACTCTGGACCTATTCATGCCAGAGGGCTGTATTAGCTCTGACAGCTGCAGACTGCACTCTTGGCACCATCTCCTAAGCCAAAACACCTGGCTAATATACTGCTAACACAAAAATGCACTCCTTTTCTTATGTTCAACAGATACTGTTATTCTCTAACCAATTTCTAAAACCTTGGCATTTTCTTCTGCATCTCCATCTGTATTGAGTACCACGTGGTATTGTAGGGCTTCCGAATATGTCACAGCTGCAGAGCTCACTTCTGTTGCTGTGCTTTTACTCTGCAGTCTGGGTATGGCTCCAGCTTGATGAAGCTCATTTGGGAGTCACCCAAAGGCTCCTCCACCTGCACAAATGCCCTTCTCCTGCAGCTGCCCCAGGCAGGTCACAGCCAGGGTTGGGCGTTCCTTAGCTTTAACTCTGCAGAAATCTGAATATGCTGAGAATGTATAGGAATATGGTGGGATTGGGAGAAAAGCTGTCTGTACTTTCTGAGCTTTTATGGAGAATTGTGTGGAGACCTTGGAGGGCCATGCTCGTGGGAACAGAGCCTTGCTGCTGAGCTCAGAGTGGGCATTTCAGAAACAACAAGCTTTGAGCTTTCCCAAAATGTGATTTATGCTGGTTCAGCTAATTTGAGTTAAAAGATCATTGTGAAATACTCGAGTTTTTGTATGTGGCTGGGATTTTTGTGGGAGTAGCACTCCAATTTCAACATAACTATGCTAATAAGGATACAGAAGCTGGACATGTCTTCTTTTGGTCTACTGGTAAAGGTCAAGTGGAGTGAGATGAATGAGAAATAAGTTCCAGGTGGCCCTGGTGTTTCAGGTGCCAGTTAGAAGTCTGAATGAAATAGCAGTTCTGCCAGCTCAGGTGCAATTTTTGCTTGAAACTTATTCAAGTTACGTTTTTTGCAGAAAATGTGGTTTTTATAATATCAAATGCAACATAAAGAAAACAATTTTAAAATTGGTACTTCATTTCATAAGTCCTTCTCCTCGCTCTTTATTTTTTTCCTCAAAATTAGTTCAAAGCTAGTAGAGGTTTCCTCCCACACAGTAGCTGAATGGTTCATACCCCTGAGCTTGGAAGACCTTTGTAAGAGTTTTAGCCCAGGATCTTCAGCCTTGCAGAGATTAAACAAATGAGAATGATAGAGCTTATCCTATTCAGCCACAAATCTTTAAATCTGACTTGAGAGAGCATGAGCTTCTCATGGAACAGTGTGGAACTGGGGCAACTCGAGATGCCCAGAAAGGGCTGACCAGGCCATATTCCCATGGCCTCAGTTTTATTTTGTGGTCCTGTTACACACACAGCCAAAAACCACTCTCTCTTGCACCCCACTATCTGTCACTGAACATGCCCATGGTGCTAGGCTCAGGTAGGAAAGCATCATCATACAGAGTTGTTTTACACTTGGCATAAGGTAGGGGACAATCTTGTTTTTAGGAGTCACAGATTGTTAAAAATACACTTCACACAGAGAGGCTGAGGTTCTTTATTAGATTTACTCTAATCTAAAGTCAAGGCCTTGGTTCATGTAGTAGCAAGGTATCGCATGTTTGTTATTTTAATTAGAGATAGTAAAACAAAGGTGTTACCAGTTTCAGGAGACAGGTAAGCATCTGGTCTGGCTTTAATTATTAAAGCAATTGCAAGAAAAGTAACAAGTATTCATTAGTTCAGCCTAATTATTCAATGTCGGGATGAAACTTCAGTTCCTGTGAGTTCTGAAGCTGCTCACTGCAATCCGTATCACCTTATTAGTGGTATCCTAGTGACCGCATTTCCTATTTGCTCCCACGGGTGAGATCTAGAGGTATGATGGAGCACTGTTTTGCCTTTTTCCCAGGATGAGCTGGATGAACTGCGGGCTGAAATGGAAGAAATGCGCGACAGTTATTTGGAGGAAGATGTTTACCAGCTGCAGGAGCTCCGGCGAGAGCTGGACCGGGCAAACAAGAATTGTCGCATTCTGCAATATCGTCTCAGGAAAGCAGAACAGAAAAGCCTGAAAGTTGCACAAACAGGCCATGTGGATGGAGAGCTCATTAGGAGCTTGGAACAAGATTTAAAGGTAGGTGAGAGATTTGTATTCACAGCGAAAAGGAGCAGAACGGGGTTTGGCTCCCTGTAAAGGAAGTGAGGGTGACACATGAAACAGGCAGAAGTTCTCAAAATGTCAGCACTAATTTTCTTCGTCAGCAGTGGAAAACAAATGTTCATCTCCTCATCATAAGAAGATGCGTTAGCAAGTAAAAAACATGTGCTTAGCCTCAAATGAAAGAAAGGCTGTCGAAATTATATTGCTGCACTTGAAAGATTTAGAGGGTTCTGCTTCACTGGCTTTACTCAAAACCTTAGATTTCCAAAACTGTACAAACAAACCCTGATATGCTTTTCCCAATTCATACTGTTTCCTTCCTTTCACTTCTTGCTTAAGTCAATAACTGGGAAAAAAAAAGTCACCATTTCATTTCTTCTTGCCTAACAAGCTATTCTCATACAGGAACAGACTGTTATAATGTCTTAGAGGAACAGACAGAGAATAGAAATGCTATTCCCATATAAACAAATTCCTGTTTTTAAAAAAAAAAAAAAAAAAAAAAAAAAAAGTAGAAATAGTGTTCATACTAAAACAATTTTCACATTTTTCAGAAATTTTTCCATCATGGCTAAGCTTTGTATAAGCATGATGCTTATCTAGCTTTACTTGTTATCTTTTCAACTATCGCCATCATGTAGCTGTTTTGAAAATGGTTAATGGCTGGAAGTAGTAAGCATTTGGTGCTTGAAAATGCAAAACATAAAACCTTCTGAAGTTGGATTTGTTGGTTCCCAGCAGTAGAAATCTGAGTGACGTATCAAGTGATCAAACCTTTCAAAATGTCAGACTCAATTCTCTCTTTTATGGCAGGAACCAAATGATAACCGTATCATAATAGAAGTGACAGATTATTCAGCAAAAATCTTGGCCATGGGTATCCAATGTCTTGGCTTGCCTAGGCCACACTGAGTTTCCATGGAAACTACAATCAATACTGAGAGCACAGTAACACTATTAGAGCAAATTCTCAGCTACACAACACTGTTTTAACTGTTTACAGAACTGTTTAGCCAGCATATCAAAATCCATAAACTTATTTGCCGTAGCTTGAGTTGGCACTGCACTACACCCTCCCCATGCCCTGGTTTCAGCCCAGATGAGATTAGTAGTGCACCGATGTTTTGTCGTTGCTGAGGGAAAGTTGTGCACCTGGGGCCAGGATGGGTCACAGGTTGGACATGTCTGATCCTGTCCATAGATCCAAATGAAAGAGATCTTCTTAGAATTATAGAATGGTTCAAGTTGGAAGGAACCCCAAGGCTCAAGTTCCAACCCTGATAATGAGTTTCTTAATTTGCTTGCTTTGTTTTTGCTGAATTTTTGTAATTCAGTAATTCATCATTTTGCAATGAATCAATGTTCTGAATTGTTTGGTAATAAATATTCTTTCATGTTAGTCTGGACTCATAAAACCTAAGCTAGAATATATTTCTGTTTTCTTATCACTCCTGCCAAGGTATGATTGCTGCTAGAGAAGCTAATCTGGGTAGATGAGACTGTTGCATGGATGTGGCTTTGATGGATGACCTGTCAACTATAAAGCACTATATCTTTCATTTTATCCATGTGATATGTTGGGACTTTGATGTGTAGCCTTCATATCTGCTTGTTTCCTCCTGCTGTCCATGACACTGCCTTATCATAATGTAGAGAGGATGGATAATCAAATGTGTGTTCATCTTGGATTAGAAATGAATATTCATTTTGGTATTCAGAAGTCTTGGAGCCTTTAATCGGCAGTCTCGTAATTGAATTGAAAATCTGTTGGCTGTCTTTTGGATCCTTTCTTCTGCAGGAAACATTCTATAGGTGTTGTTCCTCGTGGATCCTCTTCACGTGTTTGTGTTTTTCTGACCAGGTAGCCAAAGATGTTTCTGTCAGACTGCACCATGAGCTGGAGAGTGTGGAGGAGAAACGTGTTAAAGCAGAAGATGAGAATGAAGCCCTGCGGCAGCAAATCATTGAGGTGGAGGTATCCAAGCAGACGCTGCAAAATGAGCTGGACAAGCTAAAAGAGGTAAGCGATAATCGGGAAAATTGTACAGAAGAGTGTTGGTAGCTAAGATGGAAAATTTGGAACACAGGACTAATTCTTGTGTGACATGCATGCAGATATTGCTTGTGCGACTGTCTAAAAGGTCTCATTCCTTTTGTTGTGCATCTCAGGTGTGTTGGTAATTTACAAACGGCAGAGGGGTAGGTGAGTGGTGTTGTGTGCCTTGTCCTGGGCTCCTCACAGGGCTTCTGTCTCATTTTAAAACCAGCTCCTGTCAGCCTCTTCCTATTGGAGCAAAGCTGCCTTTGATTTGCGGCCAGCTATCTGACTCCCCTTTACCCAGACCGGGACTTCCACCTATTTTAGAGTCAAATGAAGTGTGCGTGACTCATCCCTGAGAGGTTAACTTGGATAGGCAAGCTGCTGCCTTGGCTGCTGCTCTTCAGTGGTGACAGTGGGAGCCACCAGCATGAGTTAGGCAGCAGGAATGTGGTCTGTAATATATAAATAACATTGCACTGCAAGCACAGAAACACTGTTGAGAAGAGGGATCATCGCAATTGGAGCTGACATGTAGTTGTACTGGGTGAAGTGATGATCCTTGGAGCAAGTGAGCTAGGAGCAGGAGACAGTAAAGGAGAGCCAAATACTAAATATGTCCGTATCCCGGCCTGTAGCAGTATTCCTGTTCTCTTGTTTGTACAGCAGATTGGCAGCTCTCAGCCGCTGCTCAGTTCTAAACCAGATTGAGATAGAACATTCAAACTTAATGAGGTAAGGCATTTATCCTCTGAGCCCTGGTCAGATTTAGAGAGCTGGTGCAATTATGTGTTATTTTAATCTTTCAAACAATGTTTGCAAGTCAACTGGCATAAGGCCCGTTTCAGTTTCCTAAGAACAAACTCTATATTATTTCTCTGTGTGTTTTGAGTTCTGAGGATGAAGCAATCCAGAATAAGAGTTTTGAAGCATTTTGTACGTAATGGAGCAGATTATCAGCAGTTGTAAACATCAGCATTGCTATGATAGCATCCTCTAAGGAGGACACAAAAGGAAAGACTGGATGATATTTTATCTTTTCTTCTTTCTCAAGGTTGTTTGTGAAAGCTGTGCTTAATGGACATGATAGCATGTTACAGGGTACTCAGTGTATATTTCACACAAAAATGCCACGTCACCACAATACCTAATGTCTTGTTTGTTGTTGATCAACTCGCAGTTTGCTAGATACTGCTTGATGATCTTTGGGATTATAAACAGCTCAAGAAACCAGGTTGTGAATTGTGGATTCTCAAACTAACTCTAACCAGGCTGAATTTACTCCTTAGATGACTAAGCAGAGCAGGGAAGATCAAAAAACTCAGCTGTCTTCTTCTGTGCAAGTAGAAGTGAGATATCCTCACTTTGGAAGCAGAATTGCCCCCACTTAGAGGCAAAGACTAGTGGAGAACTAGGAAAAGAGGAGTGGTGCAATGATGGGATGTATTCGTTGTGATCTGGGTGCACAGTAAAGCATAAGGTGTAGTAGTCACAGTAGATGGGTTTTCATACCATGACTGGTGTTATATCAGAAAGGCAGAAAAAATGTCACAAGGTCACCGTGGGTTAGAAGAGGGAGGTTTAAATCCTCCATGGGTCACATGAGGACAGATGAGCCAGAAGTTGGAAAACACAGTGACATTTGTGCCAGATATTAGAGTGTTTGCAAAGCAGTTTACATATGGCTGAAAAATACAAATTAAAAAACAACAACAACAAAATCTCAGTTCTCTTGTCCCAAAAAACGTGTTCAAATAACTACTGGAAGAGACTCCTCTTTACATTTACATTTAATATGTACAAAGCTCTGAAAGAATGTATTAAGGTCACGCCAGGAGTAAAATCAGTTCTTTATATGCCAGGAGAAAAATGACCCAAAGGCCATGTAGCTTCTTCCCATTCCACTCTGCCTGTGCATCTTGTCTATCCACAGGCTGGCACTTCAGAGGAGTATCCTTTCTGCTCAGCCCTGGAGCATTGCCCAAGACCCCATTAGGTAGCGTTCACTCCCTGATGCAGCTTACTGTCTCCATATGCTAATTTTCCATAATATCCTTGACTGCTTGCAGCCCATTTCATCTGTCTTCTGATCTATAGAAAGATTTTGTCATGTCTATGTTCATGTTCTCTGTTTAATTCAGTGCTAACTTCTGCTTTGTCCTGCTATACAACTCCCTCAGGTCTAATTTCTTTCTGCAGCAAATAGCATATATATTGATTGCCTTTTCATATCAGAATTGTACACATCTCTGAAAGCAATCTTTCTTTAAAGCTGCCTTCATTTTTATAATGTTCTTTTGAAGAATTCCTAAACAGTTATGAGGTTCAGAGGAGGTATGTATTCTTTCATCCCAGTGCCTATTTCTATCTTGTGTGATACTTTCAGCTGGACTTTTCTGTGTGAAATAAATACAGATTTACTCAATCTAGATAAAATTCTTAATCTCCTTCAAGAAAGCCCTGCAGTTTTAGCTGGGGTATTAATTTTTGCCTTATCCCAACTGCATAATTTCAGTAGATAGGAGATAAGCTTTCCTGCTTAGTCACTAAATAACAGTTCTCAGCTTTGCAATTAATAGAAGCAACATTACAACAAAGAGGAAGGTTGACAAGAAGTCATCTGTCATGGCCCGTGCTGTGTTCTCATCTCCTGCTCTGCTGCTGCGTTGCAGCTAATGCAGTTTCCTTCCCAGATGCTTTTGGATTCGCAGTTCACAATGTGCTCTCTTAAGCTTTTGCAAGATCTATCAAAAAATACATCTAGATTCTTTTGTTTTGTGCTGGCACCTTGTCGTCATCAAAATATTCTGTTTTCCACTGACAATTCCAATTAAGAGCCTCCTGATCACAGGTGAAATACCACCTCTCTCTCTCTCTCATTTTTCCCTAGGCGTCTGTGTCCCAGCAGCCTTTCTCAGCATTTCCCATAGATGTGTTTTGAGCTGAGGTATGGATGAGCCTTTTCAGCAGCAGTTTTGGATTTTATCCGGTTTTTAGGTTTGCTAATTAGAAACCATTATTCTCTAATTGTGTTCATCAGCAGTCTGGCATTCACTGTGTTAAATCATGCCACTTCATTTTTTTCAGTTTTCTTAACCAAAAGATATTATGGAGCTTTCCTTTCCCCTAATTATTCTTTTTTTTCTCCTTTCTTCTTTCTCTCCATCCCCCAGTTTTGATGGTGTTTTTTTTTCCCACTGTGCAGTTTAATCACTCTTTCCTGAAATACTTCCACTGGTTCTTTTGAAACTATTTCTTTTACTGGATAATAGTGTTTCTCTGAATATTTCCTAACTTTACTGGTGGTGCCAAGTTGTTCTCCTTCCGTCTGCTTCCAAGTGCTGCAGTACTCCAAGTGGTTCATTGAATTCTTTTCCCACAATTACATTCACCTACATTTTCAGTTTTCCTTTTTTTGTTATTATTACTCCGGTCTTTTCAGGTGGTTTGGGGCCTCCCTTTGATGCTTTTTTTTTTTTTTTTTTTTTTTTTTTTGTGGCAGCTGCTTATTACTTTCTCCAGAGCTTCAGAGTTTTCCTACTGCTGTGAATGCTTCTTTGTAGTACATCCTTTGCAAAATTGCCATGTCCCTGAGAGCTGCCCCTTCTAGGAATTTGCTAGGATCTTCTGTGACTTATCAAAGCTGCTGCTTCCTTAAAGCTTTAAAAGCAAAGGCCGTGTTCCATCACAATGTGAATAAGTATGTGCATCACTGCCAGGGTTTGCATGCTTTTTTCTTTTGTTATCTAGGTGTCTAGGTTATTAACAGGAGCAGTTGAGGAAATAGAGAGCCAGTAGAGTTAAAAAACAAATGACTCTGTCACTGGCACATCAATTCAGCAGCATCCCTTCAACTGTCATTTTTTCCTGCCTTGTTTCCTAATTCAGCTCATGGGAAATGCTGCTGTAAGTTGATCATTTAACTTGACCACGAAGCATTCAGAAAACTCTTTCCAAACATTCCTTTCTTTGACAAAATGATGGAAATTCCAGAAGTAAATATGTAGAGGGATGCAAAATCAATTTTTTAAAAGTTAGGACAAATCTGAACCGGTTGCTTATATAACTGTAATTACAAATTTTCGTCTGTATTCATTAGCATACACTTTTTAATTGTATCATCCAATGTTTTTTCTGCTGTACCCTTGCCTCTTGCAGAGTACATATGGCTCATTTCTGCTGAATGGTTTCTATTCACATGTTAATAAAAGATAAGCTTTCTTGTCCTGCAACTGGTTCGTCTTCTAACTCTGAACAAGCTATATTAAAAAACGATGTGAGAAATATATTCTCCATGCACCAGAAGGAGAGGCCAGTGTTGCTTTAAATCTGCAGTGATTTCCACCAGTTCAGTAAACTGAATTCTTTTACGTTCATGTGAGCTCATGCATTGCTGAGTATTAATTCTATTAATTTGAATAAGACAGTAGTTTATTTTTCTGTACACTTAAACTTAGTTTTACTAATTTTAAGATTTACTTAAATCATTGCAGAAAACATTCCCTTAATCAGAGGCTCTAAAACATTGATGCAAAACTTGTAGCAGCTCTCTCCTGAGCATCTACAAAGATGCTAAACTTTCTCAAAAGCTCAACTTTGACAACAGCACATGGGTTTCCTTTGAGATGTGAACATCCTTCCCTCTGCAGCTAACCCATCCTAATTGTCACTTCCTTGGAGCCAGGAGGGCACCTCTAGGGAACATTTTCCCTTCATTTCTTTGGCCCCACTCTGGAAAGTGCTTAAACAGTTCTTGCTCTCTGTCCCCAGCTTGAGGCAGTCTCTCAACTAAGATGTTTCACAAGTAGATGATCTGGAAGTTTAAACAAGTGTGAAATCATGTTTGTAAAGTGTCAGGTGATAACAAATTCCCTTGCAAGTAGTATCTCCCAGGATAACGCTCTCTCTAAACCTCTGTACCTGGGGAAGAATGAACCACCTCTGCTATTTACAGTAGAAATGAGCTCAAAAGGCACAGGACCTGCTTCTGGCTTCTCTGGGAGTGAGCTGTTCTCTTACTTGCA